TGTATTGATGGATGTATTGGTGTATTGATGGATGTATTGATGGATGTACTGGTGTATTGATGGATGTATTGGTGTATTGATGGATGCATTGATGGATGTACTGGTGTATTGATGGATGTATTGACAGATGTACTGGTGTATTGATGGATGTACTGGTGTATTGATGGATGTATTGGTGTATTGATGGATGTATTGGTGTATTGATGGATGTATTGATGGATGTACTGGTGTACTGATGGATGTATTGATTGATGTATTGGTGTATTGATGGATGTATTGATGGATGTATTGATGTACTGATGGATGTATTGGTGTATTGATGGATGTATTGATGGATGTATTGGTGTATTGATGAATGTATTGATGGATGTATTGGTGTATTGATAGAGGCTGACCTGGCCTCAGAGAGGAACCTGATCTTCAGCTCTGGAGGTAAATCTTCTTTGCATGTTTTGACGGCAACCGGCGTTTTGTCTCGCTGCAGCGTCCCTTTAAATACCTCACCAAAGTTACCCTGACAGCCCGCAGAGAGCAGGGCATGATGGGACATGGAGGCAGAGAGAAACATGATGAGAGCCAAACGTTATCAACCAAAGAAATAAAAACGCTACAGAACTATGGTGTGGAAACAGGAAGTGAGGTCACCTTTCCCAGCAGGTCTCCCAGCACCACATCCTCATGGTTCAGGATCCATTTCTTATCCTACAGACAGACAGAGACCTGTCACATGTTGATGTGTGTGTATGTGTATGTCAGCAGTCACAGTAACATGCATATACACTGAGACTTAGAAATGCTGGTTGCCTTGACGACTGGGTTGAGCAACACGACTCCAGACTTCTTGGTGATGACCTGTTTGGTGGAGAAATGATGCTCGATGAGCTGAGGGATGGTGGCGAATCCCGTCCCCTCAAAACGGTACTGACTCTGCAAGAGACACAGACGCATCATCTTTTACAGTGTTTCAATGGCTTCATCTTTTACAGTGTGTCCTTTAGTATAAAAGTTCATCTTTATGTCATAAACAACAGGGCCCTATTTCAGAAAGCAGGCTCAACAAACTCTGAGCCTGAGCCTGATCTCTGAGCTGACTGAGCCTGAGCTGAGAAACAGAACAGCTGATCAGCATCAGTTCAACCAGCCTGAGAGAGGCGCGTTCACACTGAGTACCAACAGACATCATCAGTAGAGTGCAGATAAGATGATTCATGATGTGCTGTCATGTGATGAGGTCATGTGTCTAACACACAGAAACATGTTTCTATCTTAACAGTGTTCATATATTTGAATATAATTTATTCAGCTGTAATGTGATGGAGCCCAAACACACTGGGCACAAACTCAACATCAAACACACAGATATCAAACAGACTGGTAAAAGTTTTGTTTCTACTGACTTCATTCTGTCAATATTAGGCTGAGGTTCATTTAACTGCTGTGAAATGACTTCATGTAATCTCCTTTATTCTCACATGGAGCTATTATGGGATGTTGAGTCCCATCAATGAGCCAGTTACACCGCGGAGTCTTTGAATATATGAAAAGTATTCATGAATCACTGCATCATGTGTCCACGTAGATTCATTTCTCATCAACACTGACAAACCTGCAGTTCTTTT